AGATCGAGCACCAGTCAATATGTAAATACATATGAATGAGTGAATGAATGAACTGTGTTAGGTTAGTAAACAAAGCCGGCCATCATGGTTTAGGAGCGTGTCGTCATGGCAACATAGTTATGCTTTTAGACAACAGAATCGGCGCGAATTTTTAAAAAAACACTCGAGAGGTTGATGGAGGAAGTTTCCTCGTCTTACCTTTAGAGCAGGGCTGATAGCCGGCGTCCTCTCTCCTGCTAGTGCATCGTGGCAGCAAACGGCGATGGCCCAAGCGTCCTCTTTCCGCAATCGGAAATTCTGCTGGAATTTTTTCTTTGGCATGTTAAATGGGTTGCAATTGTCCCTTAACGTTTTCCTCCATATTCTTCTCTCCTTAATTAGTGCTCGCTCCTCTATCTCTTCATTTACAACTTCCTCGTAGTTCTCAATGACTAGCTTGAGATTCGCCATCTTTGAAACTAAACCCAAATCGATGGAAATCCAAATCGATGGGTCCGGACCCATCGATTTGGATTTCCATCGATTTCGGGATTCTGATCGATTTAGGGCCGTATTTCTGAATTTTTGCATCGATTTGTGTCTTATCGATTTGACCGGCCCATAAGCGCAATGCTTTTCTTAATCGATAGCATCCCCAAATCGATCAGAATTTCTGTCAGAATTCGATCGTTCATAATCGGCCTGCAGGTAGCGTTGATACTTCTTCCACTCAGTAAGTTACATTCTCTCGGATATACAAATCCGCGATTATCCGATCCATACGGATACCGTAGCACCTTTGTACGAAATTTACCAGAAAGTATGTGCCGGATTTCCAGATGGGCTCCTGCATCTTTCTGACGCCTCTCAATCCGCGTGCACAACTCGTTGTAGGCGAAGAATTTATCCGTTACAACAATACAGAGGGAGGGTTGGCCCCTACGTCCAACTCTTCCACTCTCTTGAATGAAGTTATACACGAACACAGTTTTTGGCCCGCCTGTTTTAGTAGACACCCTGCATGATGATTTTTCTTCAAATCTGTGATCATTGGATTTTTATGAGGACTTAAATCTCTACATTCCACTCTCTATATGAAATGTTGGCGGTTGGTACCAAGAAGGAACTCCAGGTATGAAAGCTTCTTCCAGCGATCTACTTCAATAGAAGTTCCAGTAAGAGTTCCCCCAGTGGCGCCGCCTTTTTGGGGGAGCCGGGGGGTGACAGGTGTTCGGGAGGGGTTAGGACCTGTAAGGGAGCTGCTTGAATGAGAATATTTGAATATCAATATGAATATGTAATAATTGAATATTAGAAAGTTACGAAATCATTATGTCCCTCGTTTTTCATAAAAAAAATAGCCAGACTACTCTGTCTATCTTCATTTTTGTATGTTTTACCTGGTAACTCAAAGTATTCCACCCTGCTTCTCTACGCCGTGCCACCGTGAGGAGCAATACTGATGAATATGTGCCAAAGGTTTTAAGCGATCTGCGAAATCATGCACTATCGCTCACAATTTGTCAACTCAAGTCGGAGTCCTTTTAAGCGCTCAGCCGATAGGCAGCGCTTTTTGATTTCGACTTGCCTCTAAGAACTAGTGTACTAGTGCTAATGCGTTTTAATGGCGCACCAGCTCATCGATGTGTAGGCTTTTTTTTTGGGGGGGGGGGGGGTCCATTTTTAAAATAAATAAAGCTGTGAAAACTGTATTTAATGCTCTTAACGTAATGCGCAGGTAGTTTCGATCGTTTGTCTTTAAGAAAATTTCTTAGCGGTAGAGTAATTCTTATCGAAATTGATCGTTGAACTTCAAATGAAGCCTAAAAAAAACACGCCTGATGAGCTCACCGTCGGTGAGCTCATTTTCGGGAAACAAAAATACGCGTTAACGGTTTCTTCGGTAACCTTTGTTTGCTATCAGCTGATGTTTTATTTCCATTTCCCACCCAAGTCGACGGATTTTATACTTCCTTTCTTCACTAAATACATTTACTAAAACCTGAGCGCTTTTCTAATACGACAGTATTAGAACTTTCCCGCTTGTTTTTTCCTGCATTGTATTTTCCTCCGTATTTTTCTTCCTTTCAATCGGAAGTTTCATCCATATAGGATGCTGATCAGCACTTCGGGGAAATTTAATCAGCGATATGAGAAGAATTAACTAACACCGACGAAAAATCTATATTCTCTAATTTCGATATTGTCTTCTGGGGGTAGCCTACATACGGAAAAATGGATTTTGATAATTCTCAATAAAAAAAGGACACTTATTAGAGTAATAATGACATATTGAACTGTATATTTGCGGAGGCAGCTGAAACCACTCATCTCGTGAAATCCTTCCTTAACAATGATTTCGTCTATTACTCCGCATAATATTTTACTCATCAGAAGAATAGATCTAGTGTGGTTTCCGGATTTTTTATGAGAGTGTTTTAAAAAAGTAAGAATTTTTTCAGCGTCTTCGTTATTCCGCTCTAATTTATCCGCTTTCCTTTTTTTACAATTGACGGATAAAAATTCTTGCTGGGAGTTTTCATTATACTGTGGTTGACAGTGGCGCTTTACCCAGGATCTTTCTGGCGAACTTCTTTCAGACGACGAAAAATGATGAAAAACTTGCTATACGCATTTCTTTACACGTGCTGCCCTCGAAGAACTCGCAGCTTTAGATGATCGCGCGTCTGAACAAAAGCCACGAAGGGGTTCCATCGAACGTCAAAAGGGATTCAATTAGATTTACAAGAAATGATCAGTAAAAAAATGTAATAAAGAGAAACAGAAGAAAACGGAACATGTTTCGCATGCACCTCCCCATTTTAGACTTGCTGCGGAAAATCTAACGTGTACTCATGTGTTAAACAAAAACTTGCATGGAATTTACTATAGGACAGGCCGTCCTGACAATTGCGAATGATATCGTTGTATGGAACATGTTTCGCATGCACCTCCTCATTTTAGATTTGCTGCGGAAAATCTAACGTGTACTCATGTGTTAATCAAAAAATTGCATGGAATTCTCTACAGGACAGGCCGTCCTGACATATGCGAATGATATCGTTGTATGTCTCGAACGCCCCGGTCAACAAATTTACCACTTGCCTGTGAAGATCATGCATCTGAGATAGGGTTATATGGAAACGAAATATTCCTCTTTGGAGATGAAAGTTTCCTCTCCAAATACGAACGTTTCCCTTGCGGAGAGAAAACCTTTCTCTTATAGAACTGTCAATATACGTCAATGAATTCGTCGTCTCCCGCACGAAGGAACGTAACTCCAATCCAAGGTTGCCAAATTGACTTCAACAATTAATTTATTTTACGAAAATGTAAGTGTGCAATTTTTATCCAAATTTGTCTGATTTTTGCATGAAATCTGAAGAAAAATCAGTGAAATTTTCAGTTAGAAATGCCCAAGATTTTTCTGGTCAAAATGCAATTTACGAAGGGAAATTTGGCAACATTGATTTGCAGTTACGTTCCTTCGTGCGGGAAACGACGAATTGACTGCCGAACTCCTCCACTGAAGGGGCGTCATTTTGCACCAATCACTCAGTGTAGACGGCTCCCGTCTGAATTTGAACCAATGAACGTGTTTTACTCTCATTTATCTTTTAAAAGAAAACTGTAATTGCATTGTATCATCCGTCGACCCACTCGTACAGAAAAACTTGTCTGATTGATTGGGGTTAAATAACTAGTTTCAGACGGTGAGCGTATCCCGGAATACACGCAGCATCATCAGTGCCCGCAGATTCGTGGGTATGCGACTATCAACACGTGAATGTCGTATCGATTGCCGAATTCTTCAACTGAGGGGGATTCATCTAGCTCCAAATATTCTGTATAGACTGTTCACGGAAAAAACGAGCTTAGGGTTGGGACCTACATGTTAGTGCTGGGCACTAACGAGGGTTAGGTCAAATGGAGCCAGCAAGTCAGAGGAGTGCTGGGCACTAAACAACTCGAGGCTGGGTCACTAAGAAAGAAGTAGTGTCAAGCCCTAAAGTGACTTTGGAGCGAGCGTAAAATATGAAACGCCTCCGCCTGGGATCGAACTCGGATTGCGCCGGTGGAAGACCAGCGCGTTACCACCAGGCTATCGTGACTCCGACGTCTCATGGGTGAATTTACACCTGTTAAGCGCAACTACGTCTCGCGGCATCTGATTAGCACTACTCATGTTCAGTGCCCACCTGTACTGCCTTCCGGTGTTGAACTGTACAGGGCTTAGACGCCAGCCCTCAACTACTCCCCACTAAACGGCCAGTAGTGCTCAACACTAGTCTTGTTTTTTCCGTGTTATTTGAGGGTGTGAAACAGTACGTAAGTTGATGTCGCATATTGATTGCTGAATTCCTCCCCTCAATGGAGGAACCATTCGTCGTCATTTTGCACCGATCGCTCAGTGTAGAAGGTTCCCGTCTGAAAAGGAACCAGTGAACGAGTTTCACTCTCATTTGTCTTGAAAAAGAACTGTATCTAAGAACGTTGTGTTTTTTTAATACTGAAAGAGCAGTGTTGCTACAGCCGTCGACGCACACGCACAGAAAGACGCGTCTGAAAGATCGGGGTTAATGAAATAGTTTCAGACGCTGAGCGTAGACCACAATACATGCAGCACCATCAGTGTCCGCAGATTGGGTATGCAACTCAAACGTCAACGTCTTGTTGATTGCCGAACTCCTCTATTGAAAGGGCTTCATTTTTCTCCTAACATTTTATACAGCCTTTTATTTGAGGGTATGAAATTGTACCCACGCTGATAACGTATTCATTGCTGAACTTCCCCTTTGAAGGACCTTTTTTTGCTCCAAAAATTTTATACAGCCTTTTTATTTGAGGGCGTGAAACTATGTACCCACGTTGATGGCGTATTCATCGCTGAACTCCCCCTTTGAAGGACCTTTTTTGCTCCAAAAATTTTATATTTGACATTAACCCTGGGATATGAAACTAAACGTTCATCAAACTTCTTTATCTTCAAGGAAACAACATTGGAAATAACTATCAATAAGTTTCATTGTGCGATAAACCTATGTATTTCAAAAACGGGTCTACAAGAAGCCTTTGTTGACCAAGTCAAATTTCCGCTAGTGAATCCGGTTCAGTTTTAGGCACGGTTGGAAACCACGAAGTACTCAAAACACGCGAGAAATTGAATATGTGTTTTAACGGAGGTTGGTGATAGTTAATGTTAAGACCTAATCCAAATCCACCCTCGGAAATTCGACTGTATTCATACAAAAGTGTTTTTCTGACAGATGAGGGTGAATGAATCCAAACGTAATCGATGTTAATAGAGAAAGTTTGTCTGGCTGGCAGACAAGGGTAAATGCATCAAAGCATGTTCAATGCTAGAAGCCGATCGTAATCCAGTATACACCAGTGTATCCAGTCCAGTGTATGCGTAGCACTAATGGTGCCCGGGAAATCTCCGTGTGTTTATTGCCGTATGTAGTGGTTGTAGAGTACATGAGATTTAAGAAGGATCCCAGGATTTTTAGGATGGAACATGCTTAAAAATATAGACGGATCTCCCATTCCGAACACGACTATAAAAACCGTTTCAACAGTCGCTCCTTCAATAGCTCTTTTTTAAATGCGACCTAATGGTTAACAGTGCTATCATGGGAGGTTTGAAAATTACTCTACTGTCGCATCATAAAATCCGTTTCAACAGTCGCTCCTTCAATAGCTCTTTTTGAATGCGACCTACTGGTTAACAGCGCTATTATGGGAGGTTTTAAAATTACTCTGTCGCATCGTAAAAACCACAATTATTATAAATATTGAGTATTATTCAACGGTATCTTTAACGGATAACATGATCTGATTTTATCATACGGAAAAAAATTTCAAGCCATGTTTGCACCTACGTTGAAGTTCAACAAAATCCACAGACTTCTCTCGTATTTTGTGTAGAGGCCGATCATCGTCATCATTGGCAAGAATCCATCCCCCAAGTCGCGATGTTGAATTTTACCCAAGTTTTGTAATATTTTTCCTTTATTTGATGCTACATCAAAGGCGCCCTTTAACATCCCTTAATCCATTGACAGATCCAGCAAATTGGCAACGTTGTTTTTCTCCATTTAAACATATGAAAATGTATCAATTTTTAAAGGGGCCAGGTGCTCCGACAAAAATCGATTATTTAACATAGGTTTAAATGGAGAATATCCGGTGTTGCCAAATTGCTGGATCCGCCTCTACCTTAATCACGGTAAAACAATAGACGGGGCTTCTCCCAGGGGAAAATCTACCGAAAGAACGACTATTATTTTACCCAAATTTTGTAATATTTTTCCTTTATTTGATGCTACGTCGAAGGCGTCCTTTGACATCCCTTAATCACGATAAAACCATAGACGGGGCCTCTCCCCGGGGAAAATCTACCAAAGGAACGACTATTATTTTACCCGGATTTCGCAATATTTTTCCTTTATTTGATGCTACGTCGAAGGCGTCCTTTGACATCCCTTAATCACGATAAAACCATAGACGGGGCCTCTCCCAGGGGAAAATCTACCAAAGGAACGACTATTATTTTACCCGGATTTCGCAATATTTTTCCTTTATTTGATGCTACGTTGAAGTCGTCCTTTGACATCCCTTAATCACGATAAATCAATAGACGGGGCTTCTCCCAGGGAAATATCTACCAAAGGAACGACTATTATTTTACCCACATTTTGTAATATTTTTCCTTTATTTGATGCTACGTTGAAGTCGTCCTTTAACATCCCTTAAGATAAAACAATAGACGGGGCTTCTCCCAGGGGAAAATCTACCAAAAGAACGACTATTATTTTACCTAAATTTTGTAATATTTTTCCTTTATTCGATGCTACGTCGAAGGCGTCCTTTGACATCACAAGGAACGACTATTAAAACGGTCCCATGTACTCTACGATCGTGGTTCCAAGCGGTCCAGCGGGCTGCCTACGCTGCGGGCGCCGCAGCTCGTCTTGGCGATTGCGAGCGCCCCGGAGAGTTCCCTGGTTTCTTGAGGCTTTTGGACTTGGTGAGGCTCGCGGACTTGATGCTGGGCGACTTTTTGAGAGCAGCGGCGGCTCTGAGTCTCTGCGAGTCGGATCTCTTCGGGGAGTTTGTCGGTTTGGGGCCGGAGTTCTGTCTCTGGAGCTGGGGCTTGGGGCGTCCGTCCGCCGCGAGGCGGGACTGTTGTCGCTGGAGGAAAGCGCGCTTCTCCTCGGCGCTGAGGGACTGCTGTCGTCTGAGGGGGCTCTGGGGGCGTTGGTCGTCCTGGGAGGGGCGTCTGTTGTCCTGGGTGGGGCGTCTGTTGTCCTGGGGGCGTCGGTCGTCCAAGTTCTCGAAGTCCCGGCCGCCCGTCAAGGTGGTGGCCGCCAAATCCATGGGGACGAAGTCGAAGTTCGGGCGGTAACCTGGGTGCTCATTCATGTACTTCACAGCCTCCTCGTCCGAAAGGTAGTCGTCATCCTTCTTGTCCTTGGTGTTGGGGTTTGCGATAGCGCTGACGTGCCAAACCTGGAAGCAAGTGCACACATAATTGGACGGAGTTTAACAGAAAGGAACCAAGCCACATCAGCTATTGCCAAATTAAATGAGGCAAATTAATTTTTTACAAAAGAAGGTTTGTGCGGATTCCTTTGAAAATTTCAGGGAATTTACTTACAATTAGTACTATGCAAATAATTCACTGAAATTTGCACAAAAATCCGCACAAACGTTTTCATGGAAAAAATTAAATTGCCCAGTTAAATTCGGCAATAGCTGATGTGGCTCGGCTCCTTTCTGTTTAACGCGGTCCAATTAAGGTGATTCGATGGACGCCATATTTTGTGTCAGAACGGCATGCGATATATCGCATCAATTGGTTCCGTTTTTTCAGCTATACTCGTCATTATTCTCCAATATTGAGATGGCAATTCTGTTGTCAGGAGACTAAAACACTCACAAACCAATTTTATCAAAGAAATTCAACGTAATATAGGCGTGGTTTTTTCAGAGAGAAAATATCGCATTTGAGTGCAGTTTTGATATCAGCATCGAATGCGATGTTTTCTCTCGGAAAAAACCAAACCTTTATTTCGTTTAATTTCTTTGTTAAAATTGGTAAGTGGGTGCATTAGTCTCCTGAAAACAGAATTGCGATCTCAAAATTGGAGAAAAATGACGAGTAGCTGAACAAAATGGAACCAATTGATGCTATATGTCGCATGCCGTTCTGACACAAAATATGGCGTCCATCGAATCACCTTAAAGTGCCTGAGATTCAGCCAAGTAAATACACCTCTACCGCGTAAAATCGCAAGAAAATCACGTTGGGCACGTCCAGCAAGGCTTCTATCTACCCCCTAGCGCGCTATCTGCGTAGTTTAACTCAAAATACTTGGTCTGCAACCATTTGTTCGGAATATGCAACTCGGAATACTTCTAGTGGAGATGTTGCGTGTGTGAGGAATTTGCGATTTGACTACTAATTCTTCTGTAAAGATTCGCAAGAAACACGATGATGCCTCTGGTTTTCTCTGAAATAAACTCCCAAGCTTTAAAAAAAGCTCTCAAGTTGAGGCCAAAATGGAGGGGATATCCTACGCTATCCTGAGAGTCCACCTCTACATCAAGACAAACTCTCTATGCAAAGATAGGGAGCAAATACATTAGCAGGGTTGCCGTGTTTTCAGTTTTAGAGTCCCCAAATAAAGTGGCGGCCCTGTCAATGTATTTGCTCCCTATCTTTGCATGGAGAGGTGGACTCTCAGGGTAGCGTGGGGATATCCCCTTCATTTTGGAGTCAACCTGAGAGCTTTTTTTGAGCTTGGGAGTTGATTTCAGAGAAAACCAGTGGCACCATCGTGTTTCTCACCAACTTTTACATAAGAATTAGTAGTCAAATCGCAAATTCCTCACACATGCAACATCTCCATTCCGTAAGCACTGGAATAAAAAAACACATTGGATGTAGAGTCCAGACTCTCGAAAACATTGACAAGAAAAAGGACTCTTGATTCAATCAGAGTTTTGCTTAGATTAAAAGGAATTCCGCTCAAATTAAGAGGCTTGTTTCTTGATTTAAGCAAAAATCCGATCGAATCAAGAGTATTTTTCTTGTCGATGTTTTTAAGAGTTTGGACTTCAGATCCAAAGTGGTTTTTTTTCCAGTGAGGGCTTTCATCACAGATTAGTTTTACTGGCACTGAAGGGTCTAATTAAACATGAACACGTTTTGAGGAGGGGATTTCCTTAAATTTATCAATAGCAACTCTGCACTCTTAAGTCCAATACTTGGGCGTATGTGACAATTTATAGAAAGATTTTTATTGAGTAGCTGCTTGATAACTTAACTTACGATATTAAGATATCACACCTAAAAAGGATGAAAGGCCATGAACCTTTGTAGAGGCTCCTCTTCGGCGAAAGTTGATCTTTGCCTCTAATCATGTGTAAACTATCTTGGTTCAATTTATACAACCGAATATTTCAATTTCTTCCTCAGAAAATTTACTCTTTCTAAATCCTGCATCATTTAGTGTCCTCAACACTTCTTCAGCCTGTTCATTTTATTCTAGCAGTGTTTATCCCACGGTCAAATTATCATCAATGAATACTGTTCGTAAGCTTATTCGATTCTTATAGTACGCGATTATGTAAATCCAAAAGACTAAGCACCTCTCAATTTTAATGGGTCTAGGCGCATTAATTTCCCATTTTGATTAATATAGCATTGCAATCGGATAACACGATTTAATCCTTTAGAATATCGTCTAGCGTAGAACTGGCACATTATTCGATTCTTACGGTTCGCGATTATGTCAATCTAAAAGGCAAAGCGCATCTAAATTTTGATGGGCAATACTCAATAATCGCACCAATGTCCCATTTTGATCAATATAGCATTGCAATCTGATAACACGATCTAATCCATGAGAATATTTCCCAGTGCAGAACATGGCACAAGCCTCAGCAAGGTGCCATTCGACACGCCAACAAAATGCGTGTAATATAAGTTGCCTATTCGACGATTTGCAGGCGATTCTTCCGAAAGACTCTTACGCCATGCTGCTAGGCATAACTTCCTCCAAGTGGGCCTCTGGACGCGTAATGCGAAGCAAGTCCACAATGCATTCCTCATTAAAACTTACTACAAAAAACAATGTAGAAACGGTGCTGACGCTATGGAACGGTTCTATACAGGGTGGGCCAGAAGTTCCAGGACGATCGGCTAACTTTTGAACGGTTCGAGATAGAAAAATGAAACTTTGGGAATGTTCCTAACTCAAAGGGGACCATCTTATAGGGGTGTCAAAATTTTGGTCCCCCCTAAGGGAGGGGGCGGGGGGCCCCCAACTTTTTTTTTTCAAATAGCAACCCCTATCTTGTGATACCTCATTTGAAAGACCATAAAAAACTAAGAATTTTGGCGCAAATCGCAGATCAATATCTTAATTTTTGACCGAGTTATGATAGGGTCAAAGGTCAAATTTGACCCATTTTCAAAAAATCACAACTCCGGTTCAAATTATTGTAAAGAAAAAAATAAAACGGGAAAATTTACTAAATTGTGTTCGCTTTTTTGTAAAAATTGCAGAAATCACTTCGAACTAATTTTAAGGGGGGGTTCGGACCCCCAAAAACGTCAATTCAAAGGTCATTCAATTTTCCCGCGAAATAAGCCAATTTCCCCTAGATTTGCCTCCTCATTATCTCAGTACGGTCAAAATCAGTTCAACATTACGTTGGGCAAGTCCCCAAATTTCAGGAAAAGTTAAAAAAACCCAATTTAAACGGTCAAATTGAATTACCTTAAATTGCGTTTTTTTTAACTTTTCCTGAAATTTGAGGACTTGCCCAACGTAATGTTGAACTGATTTTGACCTTACTGAAATAATGTGGAGGCAAATCTAGGGGAAATTGGCTTATTTCGCGGGAAAATTGAATGACCTTTGAATTGACGTTTTTGGGGGTCCGAACCCCCCTTAAAATTAGTTCGAAGTGATTTCTGCAATTTTTACAAAAAAGCGAACACAATTTAGTAAATTTTCCTGTTCTATTTTTTTCTTCACGATAATTTGAACCGGAGTTGTGATTTTTTGAAAATAGGTCAAATTTGACCTTTGACCCTATCATAACTCGGTCAAAAATTAAGATATTGATCTGCGATTTGCGCCAAAATTCTTAGTTTTTTATGGTCTTTCGAATGAGGTATCACAAGATAGGGGTTGCTATTTGAAAATAAAAAGTTGGGGGCCCCCCGCCCCCTCCCTTAGGGGGGACCAAAATTTTGACACCCCTATAAGATGGTCCCCTTTGAGTTAGGAACATTCCCAAAGTTTCATTTTTCTATCTCGAACCGTTCAAAAGTTAGCCGACCGTCCTGGAACTTCTGGCCCACCCTGTATAGAACTCGTAATTCAATGAACGGTGGAATGTTTGTTTTGTTTATCAATTGAAACCCTCCGCTCTCATGAAATCCCCAGTTCATTCGTATATATCACAGTATTTAAATAATTAATCATAGTTATATCATAGTGTCACGGTTACAGAATTTTCTTAGCGTGCTAAATTTTACTCAGCAAGTTTACGATTACCTAATGTCACTGTAGAAGTACAATTTTTCAGCGCTCCTAGAACTGATCGTTCATCAAAGCTCGTTTTCTATCTCCAATTCGATCTATCTCGGTTTCGGCTTTTCTTGCCAGCGGAAACTTAGGACACTGATCCTATTGTAAATCATTAACGAATGTTTCTCTGATGAGCTGATTAAATCAGCTAAAAAAGCAGGAATCACTTGGGGTCTGAAGGCCCCGCGTCAGTTAAGCCAAGCTCAAGAAATATCACATTCGAAAAAATAACTCTTCATTGAGATTGAAGACATCCAAATCTCCTCCTGGTTCCACGAATCGAGTGCCAAGCCTCCTAATTTAAGCTGATCTCTCTAAGACTCAAGCCAAAATCCGATCGGAACTAGAGTATTTTTTCTCGTCAATGTTTTTAAGAGTCTAAACTCTACATCTAAACGAATCATAACACCTTTGCATTGTATTTTCACAAACGAATTCTTACAATTCGTGTTCCAATGAATAAATAGAATACATTTGTTCCGCACTGCACTGTTACAAAGATAAGAAAATGCAGGAACTGTGTCGTGTATATTTTCTCAACTCTTGAGTTCGATTGAGCAAGTAAATTGGCGCGTATTACAGAAAATTCACTCAGGTATGATGAAGAAGAACACAGGATGGCCTTTAGGATGGCCAAATTACCCATTTGTGTGAAATTTTAGGTAATCACGTAATCGGTTGTTCAAAAAGATTGTAGAAAACTTCGTGCAATTCTTAACTACGGTGGTCCGCTTCGTAATGAGATTCGATCGAAAAAGTGACCTGGAAGTTGCTTCAAAGTGGCGCCAGCTCTCCCACTTACATTACGACTTAATGTACTCTATGCAATTTTTGAGTCATAATCTATCCGAAACGACTCTTCTTTTCGCGCTACACTGGAAAAAGAAACACATTGGATCTAGAGTCCAGACTCTTAAAAACATCGACGAGAAAAAGTACTCTTGATTCAATCAGAATTTAGCTTAAATCAAGAACCAAGCCTCTTAATTTAAGCGGATTTCGTTTTGATTCAAGCCAAAATCCGATCGGAACAAGAGTATTTTTTCTCGTCAATGTTTTAAAAACAGTCTAAACTCTAGATCCTAGCGAATTTTTACTCCAGCGTAGTTGAAAGTTAGAACGGATTTTGTAATACGTACCTGAGCCGTGTGGAGACAGTTTGAAATGACTTACCGCAAGAGCGAGGAAACACCAACAGATAACACCCGAGGGCGAACTCATGGTGAAGTCGCGTATATCACAGCACTGCACAGAAACTCGTAGCAATGCTCGCAGACTGTCGCCCTTTTAAAGGCTTCGTTTACCGAGTCACGCCACGCACTCGGCCGTTCGACATGACGCGTTTGATTTTCGCGAAAATTTTCCCCTCTCGTGCCTCAACGCGCGTCAAAAATGTTCCACGGTGAAACATTTTTTCGTCTGGTTTTTTGTGTTTCTACTCGTTAGTTGCATGGAGTAAATAGACGGAAGCCTGGGCAAAATTCCCTCGAGTGCCTCTGTGTTACCGACCATGAAAAAAGGTTACACTGGAAAAAAAAAAAAAAAAAAAAAAAAAAAANAAAAAAAAAAAAAAAAAAAAAAAAATAAGCACATTGGAGCTAAAGTCCAGACTCTTGAAAATATTGACAAGAAAAAGGACTCTTAAGTCAAGCAGATTTAAGCGTAAATCAAAGGAAATCCGCTCAAATTAAGAGGCTTGGTTCTTGATTTTAGCTTAAATCTGATCGAATCAAGAGTATTTTTTCATGTCCATGTTTTTAAGAATCTGGACTCTAGATTCCATGTGGTTTTTTTTCCAGTGCAGGGTCTCAAGAAACGCCAGAAAGAAATGAAAGATAGGAAATTTCACGAGGCTGTGAAATATTTCTCATTTTCAGGAGCTAGAGTAGGCAACCCGCACTCAAACACACAAACGCAAAGTCACAATCTTTACATTTTGCGAAACATGCAAAGGAACTGGTTTGTTTCAATATCTTCCAAACATTCCTGAAATTTCATGGAATATTTCACGTGAAATTCCAAGGTTTTATTTTTCATGAAATTTTGCCACCCCGGAAACGGCTCATAAAACTAGGTACGGGTATCGCACGTAAAAAATCGAGCACAAAAACTTGAGTTTTATTCTATCGCTTGCACGGGTATTCATCACGTTCGTAGGGTTGCCAAGCAGGGAATATCGGGAAAAGTCAGAGAGAACGTGGAAATGTCACGGAATTTGAAGAAAGTGTCTGGGGAAAACAGTTAAGCCACCCTTATTTGCGCGTTTAGCAAACATGAACCAAGCCACATCAGCCATTGCCTAATTCGGCCGGGCTAGAGGTGTATACCGAACGCGTACCGATACCGATCGATACCGACCGAAACATTTTCGATTCACCGAATACCGAAGCCATCGCGATATATCGTACGTACCGAAACTTATCGAACATACCGAAACTTATCGAACATACCGAAAGTTATCGAACACACCGAAAGTTATCGAGCATACCGAAACTTATCGAACATACCGAAACTTATCGAACATACCGAAACTTATCGACCATACCGAAACTTATCGAACATACCGAAACTTACCGAAACATTTTCGATTCATCGAATACCGAAGTTACCGCGATATATCGTACATACCGAAACTTATCGAACATACCGAAACTTATCGAA